CTCCAGAGTCCGGAGAGCTCTGCTTAGGATTTCTGCTTCACAGGTCAGCTCAATTTCTGTACCTTTTTGTTTGTTTCTCATTTGTGGTTTTTGTTAATCTGACTTTGAAGGGTTTAATTTTGTATTGATTTATTTTTAGTTGGTAGTGTTTGTTTTTTGATAATTCTGATGAGATTGTTTATAGCTCAAATTTGAGAGTGGTTTGGTCAATTTTGGATTGCAAAAATGGTTTCTTTGCTAAATGTAGTTTGATCCTATGAAATTTACAGTGCTAAATGAATCAAAATCTTCGTTTCTAGCTAGTATGCTGCACCGAATGCTTGGTTTATAGTCGGTATTTTCGAGCTCTTGTTTAAGGGTCGTTTGCATTGGAGTTGTAATTAATCAAGTGTTTTGTTTGATGTACTCATTGCAGGTTGGAAGGCGAATTGAGTCAGTGGTGGTCCCACTGGAACTGCTACAGCAGCTCAAGTCCTCTGATTTCACTGACCAACAAGAATACGATGCATGGCAAAAAAGAACCCTCAAAATTCTTGAGGCCGGTCTCCTCTTGCATCCCCATGTGCCACTAGACAAGTCGAATAATGCTGCACAGAGGTTGCGCCAAATTATTAACGGGGCATTGGACAGGCCCTTTGAAACCGGTAGAAATAATGAGACTTTGCAGGTTCTTCGTAATGCTGTTACTGCTCTTGCGTCCAGGTCATCCGATGGTCTCTATGATACATCACATTGGGCAGATGGGTTACCATTGAATCTCCGGCTTTATGAGAGGCTTCTAGAAGCCTGCTTTGATCTTCACGACGAAACATCTATAATAGAGGAAGTTGACGAGCTAATGGAGCATATTAAGAAGACCTGGTCAATCCTTGGAATGAATCAGATGCTCCATAACCTTTGCTTTACTTGGGTTTTATTTCACCGTTTTGTTGCAACTGGTCAAGTAGAATTGGACCTATTGTACGCTGCTGATAGTCAGCTAGCTGAAGTTGCTAAAGATGCAAAGGCAACAAAGGATTCCGAGTTCTGCAAGATCTTGAGTTCGACATTGACTTCAATATTGGGTTGGGCAGAGAAGAGACTCCTTGCGTATCATGACACTTTTGATAACAGTAACATTGACACCATGCAGGCAATTGTTTCTCTGGGTGTAGTAGCAGCTAAGATTTTAGTTGAAGATATATCGAATGAGTACCGCAGGAGGAGAAAAAATGAAGTTGATGTTGCTCGTAGCAGGATAGACACTTATATCAGATCATCATTACGCACTGCTTTTGCTCAGGCAAGTCCTCAATATCTGCCATTGGCTCCTCCCTTTCCTTCCTTAAGTAAGAGGGAAAATACAACGAATTTCATATCCATTTTGGTTTTAGGGGATCATTTGATGTTGTGTGAAGCCAGTAACATCTATGCAGCATGAATACTAGAGCGGGATTTCTTATCCAACAACTTGCATGATGTTGTATGCTTTGTCAATGTACCCCAAAATAAAAGCCTAATTATACAGAGTCTGCATTACGTGCTTAAGGCATATCATGCATACGACATAACAGTATACTGTTATTGTGAAAGGCCTAAAAAGAACAAAAACAATAATTAAAAAATATACATGATAATTGATGTCCGTATATTGCTCTACCTGACCTGAATTTTTTTTGTTTACTTATTATGCAGAGAATGGAAAAGGCGGACTCAAGCAGGAGAGCATCAAGACACCAGCCTAAACCCCTTCCTGTTCTGGCCATCCTTGCAAAGGACGTTGGTGAGCTGGCAGTTAAGGAGAAAGAGGTGTTCAGTCCAATACTGAAGAGATGGCATCCTTTTGCGGCCGGGGTAGCTGTGGCAACCCTTCATGCATGCTATGCGAATGAGATTAAACAATTCATATCGGGTATAGTAGAGTTGACACCAGATGCTGTACAAGTTTTGATAGCTGCAGATAAGCTGGAGAAAGATCTTGTGCTGATAGCAGTTTTAGATTCCGTAGATAGTGATGACGGTGGCAAGGCAATAATTCGTGAGATGCCTCCTTACGAGGCTGAAACTGCAATTGCAAATCTGGTGAAAGTGTGGATTAAGACAAGAGTGGATAGACTGAAAGAATGGATTGATAGGAATCTAGAACAAGAGGTGTGCACTAACTATATTCATCTGTTAGTCTGAATCAAATGTTGATAGTGTTTTTCAGCCTTATATATGGAACACTCCTTTGCATTTTCTTTTAATGTTAGGCTTTTTTCATTCGTTACTTTTACTCATTACTTGCGACTTTGGTGAATCTTTCCAAAAGATAACCATTTACATTGCACTGTTTCAGGTATGGAACCCACAAGTAAACGAAGACGGATATGCTCCATCTGCTGTTGAAGTTTTGCGAATCTTTGATGAAACTCTGGAAGCATTCTTTCAGCTGCCAATACCAATGCATCCTGCATTGCTTCCGGACTTGATGACCGGCCTTGATAGATGTCTTCAATACTACGTAACCAAGGCAAAATCTGGATGTGGTAAATAATTTTGTAACTCAAGTTATGTGTATGTGGACTAAGGTGTGTTCTTTTTGTGGTAGCCAATATTGTTCATTTTTGTTGTGCAGGATCTCGCAATACGTTTGTTCCCACTATTCCAGCATTGACCAGATGTAACATTGGATCAAAGTTCCAAGGATTTGGCAAAAAGAAGGAAAAATCACCAGTTCCTCAGAAGAGGAACTCTCAGGTTGCAACACTCAATGGGGATAACTCCTTTGGGATACCACAGATGTGTGTTTGTATAAACACACTGCAAAGAATCCGGAGTGAGTTGGAGGTTTTGGAGAAACGGATTATTACTCATCTCAGAAATTCAAAATCTGCTAATGAAGAAGACTTCTCGAATGGACTGGGGAAAAAGTTTGAACTCACACCTGCAGCTTGTGTGGAAGCAATCCAACAGCTTTGTGAGGCAGTGGCTTATAAAATGATCTTCCATGACTTAAGTCATGTTCTGTGGGATGGTTTGTACGTTGGGGAACCATCCTCTGGTAGGATAGACGCTTTTCTTGATGAGCTGGAGAAGAATTTACTCATCATATCTAACACTGTGCACGAAAGAGTTCGAACGCGGATTATTACTGACATAATGAGAGCGTCATTTGATGGATTCTTACTGGTTTTGCTTGCTGGAGGCCCCTCTCGTGCATTCTCTCGGCAGGATTCCCAAATAATAGAGGATGATTTCAAAGCCCTCAAAGATCTATTCTGGGCCAATGGGGATGGCTTGCCTTCTGAATTAATAGACAAGTTTTCAACAACAGTGAGAGGTGTGCTTCCTCTTTTCAAAACCGATACTGAGAGTCTTGTTGAACGGTTTAGACGTGTGACCTTGGAGTCATATGGCTCGTCCGCCAGGTCCAGACTCCCGTTGCCCCCAACTTCCGGGCAGTGGAACCCAACTGAACCAAACACGCTCCTCCGGGTGTTGTGCTACAGAAATGATGAAGCTGCTACCAAGTTTCTTAAGAAGACTTATAATCTGCCCAAGAAACTGTAAGTTAACGCGAGGATGCTACATGGAAAGATAACCGTGGGGTGGACTTTTGGCGGGCATTGTCTTGCTGAACGTTCTCAGACCGTGCTGAGATGTCGCATTTGCCCTAAGGAGTGGCAGTGGTTTTGTATAGTAAATTCTTGAGATGAGTGGTATAAATCCAGCAGTTTGCCAAGACACGAAGACGAGTTTAGAAGGACGCAAACTTCTGGAGGTCGATTATTCTGTCTTTTCATTCATTTTCTTCGTTTAGAGGCTTATATAATCCTATTGGTGTTATTCTTATTCTTTTAAATGTTCTACTGCACAGCATTTTTTCTTACTCTCGAAATGTTCGATGTTATATTTTGTCAGCCATTTGTTGGTTTTTTGTTGGTATAGAGAATAACATGGTTTTGCTGATCGTATAATTGATCAGAATGTGATATAAGTGAGGCTGTTGATTGCAATTTATGGATCCCTAATTCGCTAAAGCAATTGTTTCCTTTTCAGCCGGATGCGATGTGCAGAGGGAAGTGATTTTCGCACTCTGCACTCTTCCGGCTTTTTCCTTTTCTTTTGTATGAAATAAATCAAAGACAAAAACAGAGGACGAGAGTGAAAATCACTATCCTAAGATAACTCATTCTGTAATCCGAACTTCTACTCGAACATTATAACGCTAATTTACAAGGACGCCCATTTCGGGGAATTTCTGCGAGAAACTATCCAACACCTAATGCAGCAGTTTAACGTGTTGATGTCTATATCCCAGAGCTGCCGGGAAAACACAATTTCTTTACTCCTCCAAGGTGGCACGGCCGAGATTTGTAGCAAGCGCTAACCGTGCAGAAGTGAGGGCTTGCGGTGGTTAAGTCTGCCTCGACAACGTCAGGGTGGAGCTTAGCCATGTAAAGCTCTTGGAGTTTATTCAACAAGAGGCTTGTCTGAGACACATTTAGCAGAGGCCGCTCCGGCCAGTTAAGCGACTTTTACTGCAAAAGAGAAAAAAAAATTAAAAAAAACTCCAGCACCTTTCCTACCATGCTTGCAATGGTACACCCCAGCAATCTAAAAACTGAAAACCTTTTAAACACAAAGTAATAGTCTAGGGAGTAGGCTAAACCTCGTAATGATGGATCATGCAAACAGTACTACTTCCTATATTCCTATTTCTCGTACATAGTACATAAACTGATGATAATTTAACATGAACAAACGACATTATTTACACTAGCTAGTGGAGGAGTAGGCTAAGCCTCGTAATGGGCTAGTCATAATAACGTGATTCAAATTTGCCTTTGGCAACAATTGAACATAAGACTTCTCGCTTACAAGTAAAGAGGAATACCAATAGATCATAGTACTAAGTGACGGTAACGGTCAAATGTTATCTGCAGTTCTCTAAGTATGATACTTTAGGTTCGAAACTAGAAAATGACAAGTCCGTGTTCAATTTATTTTTTCACCGCAATAGTGTAGACATATCGTCGTAAAAAGAAATTATTTTATCCTATAAAAATCATAATTAGAATTGTTCAATCACAAAATATGTCAATTACAATTTAGTAGAGTGACGGAGCAGACAAATACATGATCCCCAAGCTCTTTATTCAAACATTACAAATCATTTCCTCAATCACACATTATCTCTTTAATTCTAAAGAATCAAACACTCACTTTACATCTATATAGCAAGCAAACAACTTGGAAAAACCAACTTCCAAAGTTTCTGTACAAACTGCACTGAGATTTGTATTGCAGATTCAAACATAGGCACATTGCCTTTGTATTCACCATTCACAATCACACACCTCGATTTACCGGAGAAGAACCGAGACATTCCTTTTATCATTTCTTACATCTCTGCTTCGGCGTCTCCTGTCAAATTTCTTTCCCCTCTGTTACCTCCATCGGCAATAGGTTTTCGCTTATCGTCAGTGTTTAATTCTTCTTGCTTGAAATCCGCTGTAAGCAGAGGCCACAAGACCTCAGCAGGAGAATAACAGTCAATCGTCTTACCATTTCCAAGAACCCCACTCCTTCCTCTCCCCCAAGACCACAGCTTAAATCCATCATTTGCAACAAGAACAGTATGGGCAGCCCCACAGACAACTTGGATTGGATCCTGAAATTTTGTTCCATTCAATCCGTTAATCTGTAGGGGAGAGATGGCATCCCCTGAATCAGTCTCGCTAAAAGTAGCATCTCGGCATAGGCCAAGACCCTTCTCCATTCCCCACGACCACACATCTCCAGCAGATGAAACAACGCTGGTGTGAAATAAGCCACAGTCAACAGACACCAGATATACATTCTGTGGCAGTTCTTTCACAGGTTCAGGAGACAATCCACTTTCGGTGGTTCCATGCCCGAGCTGCCCATTTTCTCCAAGGCCAAACGTCCAACACATGCTTTCCAATGTGTCATTTGGGCTTTTTCTGTGGGTAAGCAAAGCTGTGTGAAAAGCACCACATACTACCTCATAAACTGCGAAGGGGGAGTCGTGATCAAATAGTTCTACTATTTGAGGACGATTCCTGCTCTCTTTATCCCCCAGGCCTAACTGGCCATGGCCGTTACCGCCCCAAGAGAAGCAAACAAGATCTTCACCTTTATATGTTTCTCCGGCAGAAACCAGGGCCACAACATGCTCATTTCCACATGCCACCCTCACAACAACATGGCCATAGAAATCCCAAACAGGAGTTGGGGTGCAACTACTAATCAGCGAGAACCCACCTTCATTGCTGCTGCTTTCGTGTGGGAAATTTCCCCACACCCAGAGGACACCAATGCTATCAATTGCTAGGGACATCATCCCTCCAGCTTTAACAGAACAAACCTGATGTAGACAAAAACGGTAACTAGAAAAATTACACAAGGGTCTTATATTAATCACTCACTTACTGCAATGATAATATAACTCCTTCCATACCTTTAGTGGCACGTCACTCTCCGTTGCAGAGGCCACCTCAAGAAACTGCTCCAGCAAGATGGGCACCAAAGAATTTTCTCCAGTTACACCGAGTTGGCCATCCGTTCAACAGTCAAGGATTTAAACAACATAAATGAAAGAACACAATGGCAATTTCCACAAGTAAATCTTTTCATTGCACTGAATTACTTGGTAACTCTAATGAAGGATACATTTGTTGTGACCCCAGCACCAAACCGATCCATCTTCTGCCACCACGAAAGTAAAGTTAGAACAGAGGAGTTTCATGTCCACTTCGATTATTTCATATTCTTGGTCCTGATATCGAACTGATTGACTAAACACCTACCTGTATAGTTAGTTTATCTATAATATTATCATATATAGTTTGTCAAGCAACAAAATCCCATCACACACATACTACAACCACACTGTAACATTTTAAATTCCAATGCCATTAATCCCAGTAAAAACTTCAAAGTTGCCTTCTATGTATGCAAAATGGAGGAAAGTTATAAACTTTTCATTAGACGATATTTTAAACTACTCTAATATATAAGAAGCGCAGGATTCCAACTTTGGTGTAGTCAACTGGCCTAACACACGTCTGCGGAAATATGTGAACTTTAATTATCAGAAATAAGTTATAACCAGACAAAACAAACACACAGCAATCATAAACTGACCAGCAAGAGCAAGACTGTGGTAAGCACCGGCGGCAACTCCCACAAATTTGAGCCTCGCTCCTTCTTCACTGCGAGGATCATTGAACTTGATTCGAACCGGGGCAAGCTCGTCGGACTCCGAACCGGTCCCAAGCCGCCCAAACATGCCTCTTCCCCACGAATACACAAACCCATCGCCGGTGAGAGCCAGAGTGTGCTTCGCCGGCGGCCACCGCCACCACCTTTTGAGACAAGTTGTCGCCGTTCGGAGGAGTGACATGTTCCTCTTCCATTTTTGGAGGTGGAGCGACCCAGAAAAGGAGGCGCTTGACAAAATGCCGATCAGAAATGCAGAGGTCTTTCTCTTTAGCTGGAATTTCTTTGTGCAATGACCCTGCTTGTCAGATGTAATGACAAATTGCCAATGAGAGCTACACCAGATATATAATGAAAAGTTTTGTAGAAAAATATATTAGAAACATGTAGTACTTATGTTGTGATAGTTAATATTAATTTTCATACGCTCATTACGCACTCATGTTTATTTACTTGTATCGATTATTTTTTAATTTATTCAATTTGAATGTTAGATGTATATAAAGTAGGAAATCGAATCCTTTTTCTGGGGATTTTAGGGATTCCGTGATCGTGACCGTTCACTGTATATCGTGCGGTCAGTTTTCGTTAGATACTATTTATATTTAATTTTAAATTTTGAAATAATTTCTAACCGCACGATGCACGATACACGGGATCCTTAGGATCCTTCTATAAAGAAAACTTGTAAAATATTTTCTTTTTTGTTTTTTTCGTATAAATGATATTCTAGATTAATCTATTCTTAAGAAAATGAAAAATTTTGAATTCGAAGCATAGTTGGTTGAAAAGAAAAACGCTAAACATCAAGATAATCCATTGCTTGCATTTCTATTTTGTTATTGTCATTAATTAATTTGATTAAGGGATTAAGAAGATGAGGAAAACACCAGATTTTTCCATGTAGTATTAGAGAGGGCCACAATTAAAAATCATCATACATGTGAAGCAAAATAATAGATCTTGGGTCTTGTTGAAAGTGACTTGAATCAACTTTGGATAATGCTAATCTATCTGTCGATTGTAGTGTGAAGTTGTCATTGGCAGATGGTATTTGGAATTGGATTTGTCAGACGCAAGAAGTTTTAAGTACGTACACGTTGCATTAAGAAGCTTATCCAATCAATTGGATTTCTAATTGTCAAAATAATTGATCATTGGAATTTGACTTAACCTACGACAGCCGTACAGTTGATCTCTTGCTTAGAGAATAATCTAAGAAATGTCCATTCATTCCTAATAAAATGAGAGAATATGTCATGCAATCTTTTATACGTCTCCTTGTATTGTATCTATAAGACGTGATGCGTATATATACACAATGAAATATATTTGGTGGCACATACATATTTTTCAAATAATGATTGGTTGCTGAAAGAAGGAGTTCAGGCTGAAATTCAATTAAAATTTGAGTAGTGATTGAACATATGGGGTGATATTGGTTCTAGTTCATTTATTTTTTTTAGACACGTGTCTAGTTGTGATTAGACTCTGGTTGAATTAAATAGAAGCTCCTGCTTTTCTTTCAGCATCAAATCATTGTTCTATTTTAACGCTTATGATGCTATACAGGTAATAATATGCAAATTGAGGACAATTTCAATTCCAGTAATTAAATAATAAACCATTGGTCTATCTCCTTGAAATTTTTGATAATTTTCAAGTTGCCACACTAAGCAATTTGTAATTTCCTTTTCCTAGATTATCCATCAATCTATTTACAATTATGAAGCATCCCTTGTAACCTGTTCTTGTAATAATTTAACTTAATTTACATGAAATTACACAGAGATTATTTGGGTCAACCATCACCCGATAGACCCTCACTAGCATTACCAATGTCATCTTGATCATGATTAGTAGCATAATAAGCAGCCAAATTCAAGTACTTATCTTGTTTCATAATCCTATTAATATCCTTCCACCTTGCCCTACAAATCACGCAACTAGCCGACCTCCCCCCGCTGCTCCTCTTCCACGTCATCAAACACTCTTCGTGTATAGGGTTTCTACACGTCCCGCAAGCCACCACCTTCTCTTGCTTTCCCGCCATCTCCTCCAAACAAACCGGGCAGCTACTTCCCTCTTCAATTTCCACCTGATGTCGTGGCTTTGTTGCTGACGACGACGAGGAGCCCTGAAAAAACAACTGGTGAAACCTCTCTCGAAGGCTGAAAGCCGCCAGTGCTTCCGGCAGCGTAGGCAGCCCTAAGAGGCGGTTGACCTGGCACGGCCGCAGCGTCCTCCTCCTCAGACATGCGTCATCGAGGGGAAGGCCCAACGCTCGGATGAACACGAAGAAAATGTGCTTGCATGGGGTTGTACGGTCCGGGCACGTGCATGAAGGGGTGGCGGATAAGGAGACGGTGTAGACGTTCCCCGTGGCGCCTAACACGAAGAAGTTGGAGTCTCGGCGGTGGAGGAGGCGGAGTTGGTGGTGGAGGGCTCGAAGAATGCGGTCGGCGAAGGGTTGCGTGGGTTTGAACCGGGTTCGCGGGCGTCGGGGGTGGTGGTTTGGTGGGGAGGAGGTGGAGGCGACGGAGTCCATTAGGGCAGTTATGGCAGCCGTTAAGGTCGTGGCTTGTTGAGAACAAAATGTGGCAAATGGCGAAGAACTGTTTGTTATGTGGGAATGGTGGGATTTATACGTGGATGGGATTCTTTGTGTGAGATGGAAGAGTACGTGAGGGATAGCGGGAGGGTCGGGAAGTTTGGTCAAGTTTTTTGGAGAACTACAAAGCCTTTTTGGAGAATTGGATTGTGAGGGGGTAGACTCTCAAGCCACGTTATAGGGCAAGTGCCGTGGTACAAATGTTTGGCAAACCATTTCTTTTCTGCATTTGCAAATTGGATAATATCCTGGAGAATTATTCTCCAAAGCCTAGCACCAAAATAGTTAGAGGTCTAAACTCTAAATTGTGACCAACGTTACTTTTGGTTTGGATCATTATTCCACTTTTCTATGTTGGAAGAAATTTTAAGTTCGAATATCTTCTCATGTTGATTAAAAAGACAAAAAAAAAAAAAAAAAAAAAACTCTAAATAATTGTTACCGATGATTACTGTCTATTTTGATACCGTTTCATAGCATGCCAACATGATATATCTAATTCAATCATATTATAATATGTTTATGCCAATATTTTTGTCTAAATTATGAACAATAAACTCTTCAGACTTGGTTAATATTGTTAACATCATTTGCTAGTAGCGAACGTGATGAAACGGGTTGGTTAGAACAATGTATGTTTTGCACCCGCATTCAAATCATGCTCCAAGTAAAAATATCGTCTAAATGGTGTCCTAATTTGAGTAGTTCTTTGTACATCCAAGTTTCGTCTCTAAACACCCAGTTGCCTGTGAAGAATTCAGCATGAACTTCTGAATGGTTGGAATCAATTTCACCATTCAAAAGAGTTATGTGATTGTTGACCCTAGAAACTACAAAGCCTACGTGGCGCGCAGGCCGAGTAATCTATAAGCTAACTACGTCCTTCGGTGATTGCGGGGCGTGCCAACTCGTCGGCCGAGTCTGGCCGAGGAGTAAATTTGTTGATGTTGCGTTGGGTGCGCGGCTGACCTCTGCATCTTGCGATTGCGGCCGAGAAAGGAACACGTCTCGGCCTCTTGGGCTCTCGAACCTGAAGACAAGGTTACTATTTTTACGAAGTTCAATATCAAATTCGGCTTTCGACGTGCCGAATGTAATCACTTATGACACCTCACTTCGCCGAGAAGGCTGATGAGATGACCTCGACCAACAAGGATTCAGAAATCCTTCTCGACCGAGACTTGGATAGGTAATCAATCGTTCTTGCTGCAGTGCTGTTGATGCCAACAGAAGATACTGCGAGACCGACTGATTCTACGGTGACAGAGTTATCTATGCCGACTTAAGATATCATCGGTTGCTTCCACAGTGCTGTTGATGCCAACGGAAGATGTGTCAGCGAAAAAGGAAAAAAGAAAAATCACAAGTTGTGAGAATTTGCGCAGGGCAATTTTGTATTGATTTGCAGGGGGCTTTCTCTGACGCACAGCTTCCCCTATTTATAGCGCTGTATCTTGAATCCGAGTTAAAATCCTACTCGGACTAGGTCTTCCTCTCCGGATCAACACCACATCGACCAGTCCTATCTTCACTAGGATTGTGAACCTAGTCCTTAACTGAGCCGGAGTCGCTTTCTGGGTTACTGATCCCACCGAGACTCCTCATTGTACTAGGACTCGACTTGCGTTATGATCTATCCGACCTAGGCTTGGAAGCCCACGAGTTGAACGATCCATGGCCCTCTCGCCGCACGGCCTCCCGGGCCGAGGATGATCCTACCTTCGGCCCAAGCTATTATTTTGGGCCCAAACATTGCCCCCTCGCTTCTGAGGTCATCGGCCTGAATTCTTCGGCCGAGTTTCGGCCTTGAAGAAGCGAATCTACCACTCAGAACCCTAGTACCCGAGTTCCAAGGCGTGTTTATTGAACATGATTGCACGATCTTGATCCTGCTAACCAAACTCGCCACGTGGCGTCATCCAACACGGTCGAACCCCAATAATGACGTCTAGGGCGTGCGGCTGCCTGAACCGTCCTGCCATCATGACCTTATGGCTGAACTTAACCACTACCTCAATCTGCGAGCCACTACCTCAATCCGTGAGTCACTTGTCATTGTGCAGGCGTCGAAACGTCTTCCGCCATTAATTTCGCCGTCACACGCAATCGTGCACCCCCAAAACCTGAGACCTTCGGTCTTCTCAACCGCATTTCCCGAACGCTCATCATGATCAGCGATTCCTTTGGTCGATTTTGCCCTTTGTTTTGAATTTCAAACGATTGCTATTCCTGCCAAAATCCTATAAATACGGAAATCCCTCATTCATACTTTACGCTTCCAAAATCACTCCGAAATTTCTCGCCCTTATTCTCCAGCACATTTCTCTTTCCCAGGTCTTCGTCTTCAAATCCCCCAACCCAGAAAACTTCTTACGCCGTGCTTCCTTCCTACAATGGCATCCTTCATCTCTAAGCTTTCCAGGGAATGTGAACAGCATCAGAAAATTCTTGATCGGAGCTCGATCAAAACCATACGGTTTGAAAATGACATGAGCACTCCCCACCAAATCTTGGGCCCTCTTTTCAAGGCGGCAGTTCCGTCAACCATTACTGGCCTTCTCCAGGAGCACTGCCTAACACCCTTGCTCCAAGGGTTCGAATGGTCGAGATGGGATGCGGCGAAACCTCAAGGTTCCTGGCCCTCAACGACCACAACCTGGGCAGCCTGGGTTGTTCTAATGGAAAGGCTATTCGGCGAGCAATGGAAGGCCATCGGCCTCTACGACGCCATCCTCCTCTCGTCAATGGATGTCGTTCCCAACAAGGAGCTTCTCCTAGCCGCCTTGTGCTTCTGGTGCTCGGCCACCAACACCATGGTTCTTCCTCTTGGTCCCATCCCCACCATTCTTGATGTTACCGCCATTTTGGGCACTTCAGCAACCGGGATCCCTATCGACATAGCATGCCAACATGATATATCTAATTCAATCATATTATAATATGTTTATGCCAATATTTTTGTAAATTATGAACAATAAACTCTTCAGACTTGGTTAATATTGTTAACATCATTTGCTAGTAGCGAACATGATGAAACGGGTTGGTTAGAACAATGTATGTTTTGCACCCGCATTCGAATCATGCTCTAAGTAAAAATATCGTCTAAATGGTGTCCTAATTTGAGTAGTTCTTTGTACATCCAAGTTTCATCTCTAAACACCCAGTTGCCTGTGAAGAATTCAGCATGAACTTCTGAATGGTTGGAATCAATTTCACCATTCAAAAGAGTTATGTGATCAAAGTAATTACAACAGTCTTCTTTTTGTTTGAGGAAAGAAAAGGGCAAGGGTACCATACTTTATCGTTAAAGTTAACAATAATCCAATTTTTCCCTCCCATAAAACCCCTTTGTTTGATACAAGCGGTATTCAGGAAAGAGGAAAACTAACACAAGAATATAGGTTTCCATAAGTAAATGTTCTTAATCATTCAGACTACTGCTTTAATTATGACAATCATTATTTCTTTTTGACAAAGCGGAATTCTAAATCTACCTATGGAACCGAAGGTTCAACTCAGTTAGAAAAAATTGGAGACGCTGACTTTGCCAACTGACGTAATATTCACTTCTACTTTGTTGTGAGTTTATCGGTTATGGGGTGGGCAAATGGGTATAGGAACCGCGGGTCGGGGCGAGTAATCAAGGTTCGGGGCGGATCCAAAAATTATAAATGCAAAACGGGGCGGGGCGGGCGGGTACAGGTAAATAACAGGGTGGGGCGGGTAAGGAAATAGGAATAAACAGGCCCCCCGCCCGGACCGTTGATTTCCTACGTTGGTTTCCTACCGTTGATTTCACCCTCTCTCTCTCTCTCTCTCTCTCTCTCTCTTATTCTTGTCCGGGACTTCCAAGACTCTATTTCATTCTCAGACTCAATTCCCTTAACTCTCCCCTCTCCTCCCTCGATCTCTCCTCCTTGAATCTCATTTCCTCTCTCACCGCCACCATCACCATCACCATCAGACCTTGATCTCTCCTCCTGATTCACTCATGTCTTCCTCACTCCGTTCGCTGCCATCATTATCAGGCCTCGATCTCTGGCGACGCTTTGTTCGATGCTGATATCTGGCGACGCTTTGTGGTGCGCTAACAACAGGGTCGTCGATGAGTTCATGATGGAGCAGTCAATCCCGCCGTACCTGTTCACGTTCGCCGTCGATGAGCTACGGTACCAGGAAATGGGCCTGAGAACTAGGGTTTACGCTAAGACGGTGTCGGCAATGCTTGAATCCAACGGCAATTTATCCATTTCTCTCTCAATTTGTCTGATTCGTTCTATCTGATCGTTTTTCGAAACCCTAATCCCCAATTCTAAGGTTTCCCCTTACGGATCTCCCTCCATTTGGCTCCACTTTCACCCTCCGCAATCACTGCAAATGGAAATTCTAGTCATTGAAATGGGAAATTAGGGTTTGATAGTCAGCAGGTGTGTGTATTTTGTGTCACTGTGGGGGTGGTTTTTGGTGGCCATGGCTGCTTTGAAAAGAATGGTGCAGTCCAGCGTGAGCACTACTGCGAGTAGTTACAGTTCATGTAAAGGTGGTGGCGCAGTCCATTGAAATGGCAATTCCCGATCAGTTTCCAGCAGGCTTGTGGGTTCTAGTGGTTGACGACGACACCACGTGCTTGAGGATTCTTAAGCTGATGTTCCTCTGGTGTCTCTACCAGGGTATGTCGTTGATCTTCTAGCTAGGACCTCAGTGATTGAATGAAGTACCAAAATTTACATTCATACATTCGTTATCTTTTGATGGCATTAACTTTTCAATTCCTGATTATCAATTAGTTTAGATTCTTCTGTTTTTATGTCGAAAATTTCGATACATAGATGCTGTTTGTTTTTGCCTATTCCCATTTTAGAAATTATTAAAAAAAAAAATGAAAAAAGTTGGACCCGTGAGGCGGGGGCGGGGCGGGTCCAGTAAATAACGAGCCGGGTTAGGCCTGGTTCCAAAACTCAAAATCTCTCTACCTGGACTGGCCCGCCCCGTTACTGTTTAAAACGGATAAGGTCCAATTCCTCCAAAATTGAGGCCGGCCTGACCTGTGCCCAGCCCTAGGTTATGGCCTACGCAAAAGAGAGTATAATTTCACCCAACACTTAATAGACTGAAATAATAATATTATCCATGACCTTTTTGGTAATTTCACCAAAGAATCCCTGCCTCTCCAACCTCCAACTACTGTGAGTCTGTGACTGTTAACCCCAAAACCCTAAATCCATCATATCTCCGCTGAGTGCTCCAATGGCTTCTCGCTGCAGATCTTTCTCGAAGCCGGCTTTCTCTCTTCTCAAATCCGCCGTCAACAAACCGGCGTTCAAGGCCACTCCAATGTCCTCTCTCCCCACCGCCCGCCCTTCTATCAATCTCCCAAGGTGAGCAGTCCTTTCAAATCCATTAAATTCTCAATATTTTGGGATAATTCTCAATTGGACATTGTCGAATTTTTTAATTCATGCCGTTTTCTCGATTGGGTTTTTCCTCAAGTCAGCAAAGCTCTTGACTTTTTTCGATTTTTTTTTAATTGCAGGCCGTTTCCTCAGTTGGGTTGTCTGCAATCTCTGCTTCCATTTCACACGGCGGTGTCTTCAGCCCGGCTCACGTCGTGCCTCGGCATTGACTCGAGGAGCTCGAGGTCGTTGTCTCAGGGTATGCTCGGTGCAAACCCAGGAGTTTGATTTCTCCAATGTTTTGTATTTATTATCTGTAAGGAACTTTTTTACTCTATAGTTAGCTAAAAGTTGAATCCTGAATTTGTATTGTTCTTCATTTCCGTGATTTTAACGCTCAATTTGTTTACTTGTCGTTGCAAATCCATGAAACGAATAGGCACAAAATTGGTATTCATTTATAGCACTCTGAACCATTATGTCTTTGTTATTTGCTTACTCAGAATGTGCAAACTTCGGATCTTTTGTTAATGTGATTTATCTAGTCAAATTTTTGGTCTGAGAACAAAGTTTACAGGAGCAAGTTTGGGCCTCATAGTTAGAAAATTGAGAGGGTATATAACATCTAAAACTGGTAGAGTAATAGTACTGCTCAAGAAAACCAGCTTGCACTGACTTTTAGAAGTGTTGTTTGACATACAACATGTCACAATTGAGAATTCATCTAGTGTTATTTGTTGCCTGTGATAATACTTAGATTTTGGTAAGATTCAAACTTTTAGAAACAGGCACCTAGACTGGGGATGGTAGGTGCTGTTTGCTGCCAATAGTGTTGAAACTCTATAGGTTTTGTGTTTTCCTTACTTTACTATATAACCGGTGGCTTTTAAACCTCAATGCGTGGGAAGAAATAATTCATGAAAAGTTTCATACATGGAAGGCAGCAGCCAAATTGCACACCCCATACCAAATACTTGACATATTCTTTAATAGGATAAACTTCCAAGAAGCAAGAAATTTTGTCAATCTAATATTTTTTGAGAAACTCATGGCATAATCTTTGAAGTCTCAGAAAACGGAAAAAGGGTATGCATCTAATCTATGCACTGTACTAAAACCATTGTCTCTACCTTTAATTTCCTATTGTTGAGGTTCAGTTTCATAATGCTTGGAGGTTTTTCCCCTCTATGATCTTGTGAAGTCATGAATGGATTTTGAGCTTCAATTTGTTCTCTAGACGTTTAAGTCTTACAAACTTAGACATTTTTGTGACTTGGACCAGTTTGTTCAGTGCATACATCTAAGTTGTTTACTAGTCTTTGAGTATGATGAATGTTTGAGCATTTGTTATTTTAACTGTATCATATTGTTCTTATGAATTGCTTATGATAGTGATAGTTCAAATTTTGATTCCCTGATGGAAGACCTTGTAATGTGTGCACAAGCCTCAAAACTAAATCCTATTCTCTGGTGTAAGGCATCAGTTGAAAAGTGTGGTTTTCAAGTTTTGATGTAAATAGTTAGTAAGAAGAGCAGTCTGATTTGTAAAGGCCGAAGAAAGATGTAAATAATTGTGCTCATTTTATGATTAAATTGCCCATCATTATTTGGGTCATGAATATGTGGTTCTTAACACGACTATGGTACACTCAGAAGTATGGAAATCTGTTCTGTTTGAAATTTTAAGTCTGACATTACGTTACTACCATTTGCCCTTCCTATTATGATCCATCCCTTCTCAAAATAGATGGATATACAAATTTCTAATGGTGGTTTGCAACTACTGGACCACTTCATGCAGTAATACTGATTATACATAATTTAGTTTGTTCTGCGGAATATTTGTGTTTGCTAAGGATTCTGATTGCCCGATTAAGTCGTTTTCATCAGTATTGAGAGTGAGATCCTTTAATTCTAACAAACTTATTTTTCTGCTTCTTTAATATATTCAGAAATAGGTCTCAGCGTGCCTCGATAAGAGATTGAAGAAGTTGGAAGATAGAGGCCAATGGATGAGTCTCATCACCTCTGCTATCAGCAAGTCCTTTTCATCTTGGAGTTAAGATTTAAACAGTTTTGTAACACAGTAGCTGCAAGAATTGAATGCTCTGACTCTTGTTTAAATTCTCCTTCAAATATTTCTTTTACCTTCCCCATGGATATCGTAGGAATATTCCAGTCTATACCGATACATACTCATGCATGCCATACACCACAGCATAGTAGAATTGTCGGCATTTTCCGTATGCTCTATAGCAGCACAGCAGCAATGTAGAGGAGAAAATAATAGTGATGAGTTTGTCACATTTCAAAGGGTGATATTTTGGCTTGTGTTCTAAGTTACAGTTATACATTTTTTCTCTATTTACCTGAAAATAAAGTAAAGGTGCCATTGCCAAGGTGGGGAACTGGGTTTCTGTCACGTAGCAGTCAATTTGAAAAAAAGGACAGGATAAAAAGTGAAGCGCAGGTGAGGATGCGGGGCGGTCGATGTGATAAATTGATGGTGTCCAAAATGTCTCCCATATGTTTTTAAAAGGAGCATTGGCCTTGGTCCCAATATGTCTCCTACCTCCTCCATCACACGATACACTTGCATGTGCACTTCTTTCAGACTGAAACTATGTTCATGTACGGAACTCATTGTCAATGTGTCACTTCCCAAGCATGATTGAAATGTAACGAAAATCTAATCAGTTGTTTCGTATTCAAGAGGTTTGCAGCTCAAGTTGTTAATTGTGCTTATCCTTTGCCCAATGTTTTGTGTTCGATTCCTGCTATCCTGATATTGCTTGTGCGGGAGATTTTGGTCCTTATAATGAGGTGAAGTTTCATTTCAGTCTAAATGGTTTCAAGTGTTGCTAGTCAATGTTTTTGAATTGCCATGGTGGATGGGGTTTGTTCTTCAACTCACTACATCTCGAATTCAAACCCCCAACCCACCTCTTTGATGTATATTATAATAGTTATCGCTTTTTTGAGAATAATACTAAGTATCCATTATCCACTGAATGAGCCTTGGCTGCCAGACATTTCAATGGTCAATATTCTTGTGAACATCAAAACCCCACTCCATAGCTAAATAAACAGTTGTCATTAGCAGCCCCTTCTGCAAGTGTACAAATAACCTGCCCCGTGTATTTGTTCAGTTAGTACGTGTTGAATGGAAATTTAATTAATTAATTAATTGATAATATATATATATATATATATATATATATATATATATATATATATATATATATATATATATATATATATTGAAGTTGGAGAGTCACTGGTTACCATGTTAGGGCAATTGAGAGAGAAAATATATATATATATATATATATTGAAGTTGGAGAGTCACTGGTTACCATGTTAGGGCAATTGAGAGAGAAAGCTTTGGGAGCATATAAAAATGGTGGTCAAGTCACTGTCATAGAAAAAAAAAGGGCCGGGGGGGGGGGGGGGAACAAAACTCTTTATAATGCACATGAACATATGCTCCATGCATGGAAGCCATTCACTTTTGGTTTCGAAGATTTCAATTAGTGACTAATGACCATATTTAGTAGTATTAACTTTAATCTAATCCTCCAAACTGAAAGAGCAGTTTTCTCATCTTTGCTTGATTTGGTCGTTTTATTGAGTGGAGTTGCTTTTCTTCCACGAAGTGTGGTTGAGGGATTCTCATTTCCTTACAAGGTCAAGTGTACTTGAGTTCTGTTTTAATCTGATAACGGTGGTGAGAAACATTTAAAAAAAAACTAAATTATAAATATAAAGACATGCTTTTTTACTTCATACATACACTCTTAATTTGCGGTCGTCTAATCAACCAAATTAACTAAGATCAAAGGACATAAATTAACTAGGGGTGTATGAGATGTAAAAATAGGTGTTTGGATAGCACACGCCTAAACACATCTCACTTATATATGGTACAACTTTTTATTGTATTACTCTATAAAGAAATAGCATGCATGTAGTCATAAAAGATTTTTGTCCCAAATTGAGCCAGTTATATGGAAGAATAAATTCCACATTGTAATATGTTAACGCTCAAAATTAGGAGGTTAACAAAGACCAGTGTAGTCATGTGGTCAGCCCTTGGTTGGCTTCGGATTGCAATGATAAGAACTGAACAACAAAGTTTAAGCGGTTCACCCTGAAAAACTGGGTTACGTCCACTAAATCACTCGTACATATTGAATGAAAGGTTACAAATAACACTCGGCATAAACTCGTTTCTTTATTCTCTCTTTTTTGTTTGGCATGTTCTAAGGAGCACTCGTCCTCCTTATATAGTCCCTCAATAAGCCTCATGACCATGGGCTTGAGTCTTCCACCGCTTTGCATTTAACGCACCGAATACATAAACTTGACCTACTAGCTACCCCTCCGTCCTTTACTCGACACATGGTGACGAAGTGACATTTGTTTAGGTCCACTTGCATGTTTTCTTGGGATAATGTGTATTGAGCGCCTTGCTCGGTCATGGGGTTTATGGGATTCCACACCTGAGCGCTTGATCTGACAGCCTTTATGTCCTTCATAGGCTCTTGTTCTCTTAGTGGCAAAAAATTAATGACCGAGTAGGCCTGTCCCTGTGTCCTTGGAACTTCGCGCTATAAAATTTTCAAGATGTCAACTAGTCGTCAATAGTCAGAAAGTACTTTATGAGAAAGCACTTGACTTTATTGCTTATAGATAAACTAGACCGTTGAGTGGTCGACTGTAGCGCTCAAGACCATCCTTTCAATTCCGTTGGGGCTTGGTCTTTCCGTTTTGTGGACCTTCCTCCCTTTGGGCCTTTATTTCCCTTCAGGCTTTGTTCCCTTGGGCTTCCAGGGGTTGGAAAGGACCATGCATTAGCATAATAAGTTATAATTTTTCTACATCACATCTTAAGAAACTTGTCCCTACCATAGTCTGAAATATCGATAATATCGACGAAATATCAAGGATATTTCGGTTTTTTTGAATCACGGATATTTCGGAACATATCCATGTACATATCGTACAAATATCGACGATAATTTCGCTCACACTTCAGCAATATTTTGTCAAAATATCGATGTAATATCGCTAAAATATTGAAAATATCGATGTAAAGGAAGGAAAAAAAAAAGAAAGATAATTTCGCTCACACTTCAGCAATATTTTGTCAAAATATCGATGTAATATCGCTAAAATATTGAAAATATCGATGTAAAGGAAGGAAACAAAAAAGAAAAAAAAGAAAAAAAAGGAAAAAATGGAGGAAAAAAAAGGAAAAAGAAGAAAATATCGATGTAAAGGGAGGAAAAAAAAAGGAAAAAGAAGAAAAAAATGGAAAAAAGGGAGGAAAAAAACACAAAAGGGATTTGAACCGCTCCCATTTTACTTCTCCAACACCTTAACCACAATATATCACTTATGTTTTGGTAATAATATGCTAAAATATTTATATTTATATGAGTGGCATGTTAACAATTACATGCAAAACTATTTTGGGGATTTATCATTTGATGAATACTCTTCACAATAAACTTACTCTAGACATAGAGATGATGAAGATAGTGAAAATTTTGAATCTCATTGGAACTTTATGTGGTACTAAATCACTCATGTATCTTACCATGCAATGTATAAAGTGTAAAATATTGTAGTAAATCATTATATATAAATGATTATAGTGTGTTTAATCTTTTTTTCATTAATTACTACATATTTTCTACACTCACAATGTTTGCCAGCTTGTTGTATAATCAACTTTGTTGATGCACAAAATCAGTGAGGACTTTGGTACAACAGAAAGTGTTAAGTTTGTGATATTCGCTAGATTGCTTCGGTCACTAGTGTGGATAAGTATGTATATAGATAGAGACAGGGAAGCAAACACAAGATGTACATGGTTCACCCAGATTGGCTACGTCCACGGAGTAGAGGAGTTTTCATTAATTGTGAAGGGTTTACACAAGTACATAGGTTCAAGCTCTCCTTTTGTGGGTACTAGTGAATGATTTAGTACAAATGACATTAGACAATATTGTGAGAGAATGATCTCTATTTATAGAAGAAAGTTTCTAGTTTCATTATGACATTGATATGTGTCGTGTTGTGATTGGCTTCTGATGTTGACACGTGTCGCACTATGATTGGCTTCTGATGTCGACACGTGTCGCGCTGTGATTGGCCTCCTGGTTGGAGGGAAACTCTTCTGGGTCTTTGACGGTATAATGTTGACCGGTACTCAGTAGTTTCGAGATTGGTCAAGTATGGTACAAACAAACTTAAATCAGTTAAATCCATCATGTAATGCATTTCCTTCTAATTTTTTTTTATAAACTAATAGATAATTGACTAAATAAACATTCTCCAAAGTTTCAATAAAAATTTCCAAGTTTTTCTTATAATTTCCGTGGGTTTTATTCAATTTTTATCGATATCGATAATATCCCGATATTTCCACCGAAATTTCCATGTTTTTGGACTACCGATATTTCCGATATCATCGATATTTTATACCATGGTCTCCACATAGTAAAAATTCTCAATAAGTTAAAAACTATGCAATATTGTTATGAATATAAATTTAAGATGAAATAAAATATTTTTGACATTAGGTGTCTCTCTTTTACCAATGTTACATCTTAGAAATTGACATCCTCCACCACTAATCTAATGTGATTATTTGTTCTCATACTATATTCCTTATGGATAACTAAGTAAAAAAATACTTCTTTTTTTTAACTATACCTCTATTAGATAATAACCTCCCTATAGATATAAAATTGATTTGGTCCTAACATTACGGCTATATAGAGGTTTTACTTTAGCGCAACACCAATTAAATTAATAACATTCGAGTGCAATAGCAGGAAGGAAGGACCATGGAGTATGTTAAAAGGTATTGTCATTTCCTGAAATGGTTAAATTATAGATTTAACATCTCTTACCCTCAATGCGTAGTTCTCCTTACAACTAATAATATTAACGAAAAACACTAAAAGAGGCAAATGATTGAAAAAAAAAAAAAAAAACGCTTCTCATTTGGGTACGTGGAGTTATCCACACACCTGTGTTTTACCTTTCATACTCTCTTGTTAATTTTTGTCATTTTTCCTTTGTTCTATAATTTTTTTTTTTCCAAAGTATTACAGTTCAGCTTTATTTTAATTAATATTATTATTGTTTGTCACACTTATAAGATTAATATTAATGCAGAAACTGGTGTGTGTTTCTTTGTGAGAGATGGCATCATAAACCAGTGAGACTGGGTGCATGAGGGCATGAAAAGGAGGCATGTGACCACCGCAAACTTTGCTACACCCTCACACTAATGTACAAATATTTATCAGAATTAACTTTTTAATTAATAATTAAAGAAGCAAACTTTTATCTTTGAAATTAATTAATATTATTATTCCCACCAGTACTACTGCTAAGGTTCCTTGGTTAATTTCCTATTATTATTTTCTGTTTACTTTGTTGGCTAACGATAAGAGCAAAATCAAATTTCAGAGACAGAAAATCGTGCAAATTACATAGCCAGCTTAGAAAAATATAATTAATGTATAGAACAATGTATAAATTAAACCTAATTAACAGACCTTTGGATCAGCACTGTCTAGGATCCTGCATGCATGCATATGCAGTCTCATAGCATTTGTCAACTTCAATAAACAATTTAATTTCATTTACCAGAAATCAATTTTATGTACTTAATACTCTTAATTAGTTTTGTTTATACAAATAATATCGAAAGTTAGAGGAATCGAACTTAGAACTTCTAGTATACATAATTATTGCGTTTGATTAATTTAAAGTGCTAACAATGCACAATGTCAGTAGCAGACACCACACCTCTAGTGTAATAACAATCATATGAAATAACAGTTAGCTTCGCTGTTTTTCTCTTCTTAAAGAGACTTTAAGCGTTTTTCTTTCACATGAAAGAGAGCTTTGAAGAGAGTTTATTTATTTATTTTTTTTTTTATCCTTGTTTGATGCATAAAATTTGATAGATTTTGGAACAATGTAAAGTATTAAGTTTTTTAACTTGGTAAGGTTGCTCCGGTCATTAAGTATAGATACATATATAGAGGGATATAGATAGAAAAACAAACACAAGATGTACGTGATCACCTTAGATTGGGCTACGTCCACGTGGGTAGATGAGTTCTTATTAATATTTTAGAGTTTATGTAATATAATGGTTTAAGCATAATCATCATTAGTCAGTTCTAATAATGATTTAAGTACAGCAGTGGCTTTACAGATTAATTATAGAAGAATGGTCTCCTTTTATAGTTGAGTAGAGTCACACCCTTTCATCCGCGGTCTATATGGGACTCTTGGGGCTTCATTTTGGCTTTGACACATGTCGTTTTGTGATTGGCCTCCTGGTTGAAGATTGATGAAGGTATAAAGTTGACCGGTATTCAGTAGTTTCATAATTAGTGAAGAATGGTACAAACAACCCTGAACAACGAACCTTGAGCCAAACTGATATCTGGTTCGACCCAAGTTCGACCCGAAAATTTTCTTTTGAGTGATAACTTAGGAAACCAAAAAAAGTGACAATAAAAAAGAGTGTGACTTGTATTTCTATGGTCTTGGTCCTAGCATTTGTAGTCCTAGACTTATCCTGAAATCTTGTGGAAGTGAAACCACGTGCAATAAAGTTATAGAAAAAGTGTGGGTTTTGCGAAGGGAGAAGGATCGTCTATCCTCCCACTTCTAGTGCCCTTCCGTGCCTTTTTATTTGTGTGGTGACGGTTAAGCCACGTCGACATTTTATATTACTATTCATTTTTGTCTTATTATCTCTATAAAAAAAAATAATGTAAAATGTTGACGTGACTTAACCGTAACCACACAAAACAGAATGGTACCGAAAATAAGAGGGCAGACAATCATTGTCCTTTGCGAAGTACATGCATCTTCAATCCTTCTTTTCTTTTCCATTGGGAGTTTCGTATTTTATTTTCTCCAAATCCAGTAAGATTTTTTATCATATATATTTAGTAACAAATTCAGCCAACCGGATTTCTTTCAGCAGAAAACAATGTCAAAAAATCTGCTAGCCAATCTGCCTCTTCTTTCTAACATTCTCTGAAATGGTTAAAATCCCCACTGGCTTGAATCAGTTTTTCACTGAAATTCATGCAAAAAATTATAATATTAGACTAGTTAATTATCTTTCCTCACACTTCCTTCTCTTGCTCAAATCAAAATATATAAATAAACAGAAACAATTTATGTAATATTTCTGAAATTTTGATGTCTATAGTTCCGTTGTTAGTCGTGGTTACTCACATTTAGATTCAACCAGTAAGTGAAAAAGGATTTGGTGGGTGTTTGTTTACCATGAAAACCAAAGAGCTTGGAATGAAATCGAAAACACCGAGTTGGGGTGTGAAGGTGAAACCAACAGATTGGGACTCGTAGAATTATAATATGCTTTCGAGACTTGTAACTCAAGCAGTTAACGTGATCAAACTGATAACTGTGTGAATGATGGGTAATTAGTATATTGGAGGAGAGATTAAAGAGGGTGGAGTCCAGCAATTGTTGTGATGCAAATTATGATTAGGTTTGGAGACCTTTCACTTGGTGAAGTTGGGGTGTCAACAAGATAACATGATTATCTCTTACCAAACACCAACTTATTAATTAGTGGGTGCACATTTTGACAACTATAACATGTATAATTCAACATCAATCCCCTGCCCCATGAACAATTTTTATACCAATAATTACCTTAATTGCATAAAAATTGCATTCATACAAACCATTAACTTGGAAATTAGCTAGGGTTATACTCTTAATAATAATGATGATTAATGATGAAGATGATACTGCTCCAACTTTTTTAAACGCATTGGAGGCAACTCCAAACCCCAAACAACGTGGTAGGGGCAAACAAATAATGATAGGTTGCTAGCTCAAGAGTCTTGGCGCTATTCCATGTCAAAAATGAAGATATTATTAGAGAAATTTTTTGTTGTTTTTTTATCGTAGAATGTGTATTTGGTACTTTTGATATATTCTTTAAAAATGTTTTTACGGGCTTTAAAAACCACTGTAGCTTTGATATTAGTTCATTTCAATGTAATTATGCTCAAAGAATATGTGAAAAAATAAAATAAAGGAGAAGGTAGATTAAGGAAAACTAGAAAATTCAAAATTAAGTTAGGGAAAATAACCGTAGGATAAAGAAAATAACATTACGAAATTATCTAATTAATTAAAAAAAAAAAAAGATCAACTGGGTCCACTAAATTAACCTCGAAAAGTTGCCTAGTTTTAGCTACTCTAGCTCGCTCCCCGACTAGATCAGCTGCCGGAAATCGGGCCCCACGTGCTGATGAATCAAGTAATCTCCGCCGTTGGATACGTCAAAGACCATATTCTGATGGTGGTGGTGGTGATGATGCGGCGGCGGCACCTGGTGAATGAAAGTCTGCTGCGCCCTCACTATCTCCTTCTGCCGCCGCAACTCCAGCACCTTACGGTGCGAGTTGGAGTGCTTTGTCAGCACGAACGTCGGGCTCGCCGCGGGTCGGTACTCCGGCACTAGTCGACCCGACTTGTATCGAACCCCGCACGCGTTGCACAGTGTCTTCGGACCCATCGGCCCCGTCCGCCACTGCGGCGTCTTGTCCGTTGCGCAATGCATGCACTTTCTCCCGTCACCGGGCCCACCGCCCGAACCTTCCTGGCTCTCCTTCTTCTTCGGTGCCGACTTCACAGTCTTCTTCCCAGTGCTGGAAGGCGGCGGTAATGGAGACGCTGCCTCCGCCGCTGAAACCACGACGTCGGATTGCTCCGGAGTCGAGAGGAGGAGGAGGCGGGAGGTCCAGTTGCACGGGGCGGCCCGGGACCGCTTGCTTCGGGCCTTGGCGGGGACCGAAACTTCCGGGTTGAATATCGGGTTGTTATTGCCATTAGGATTGTTATTGGTTAGGGTGGGGTCCGGTTGGAATTGGCTGGTCTCGAAGGCGGCCTGGTCGGGTCGGGGTTTCATTCCGGATATCAGCTGCAGCTTCTGCAGGTCCTCGCTGGAAAACGACTCCTCCACGAAATTCGACAGCCATTCGAGCTCAGCCAAATCGTCGCACTGAAACACAAATCACATAATTAATTAATAAATTAATCAATTAATCAAAACCCCACTTAAATTTAAATTTGAATCTTCCATTTTTTTCATTTCAATTTCGAATTCCGAAGAACTGTAGGCAGTAATTCATTAAAACTCAATCATTATTTTGTCGTTTTTTGTTTTTGGGATTGAAAAACAAATTCAATAGTCAAATTGACCCAAAAAAATCAGCTAAATTATTTACCGGGACGCAGAGGTCACTGGAGAAGGGGCCGTCGGCGAGATTCCGGGACCCGAAATTGGGTTCAGAGCCCGATAAGGAGGACGAATTGCAGCTGTCGATGACGTTAAGTGGCGAAGAGTCGGTGGAGTTTCCGATGACGTTGTCAAAAGCAGCAGGACAACCACCGTCGGTAATGACAGCGTCGTCGTCGTTGGAAAAGTCGAGGAGGTCCTCCACCATAAAGTGGTCCCCGCCGCCACCAACGGCGGTCTTGTTGTTACTGCTGTCGAAGGAGTGGCGCTTTTCAGGTGTGAATTGTGGGCAGAAAGTTTTCTTGTAGTACTCCGGAGCTTCCATGGCTGCAAGGGAGCTCTAGAATTTTAGTCTGTTATTATATTTTTGGGGTTTTTTTTTTTCTGGTATTTTTTTGGGTGTTGGAGTTAAGGCAATGAGGAAAGAGAGGGAATGAGAGGAGAGGGAAAGTAGTGAGGGAGGAGTGAGAGAGAAAGTGTAGGAAGAGGGAGAGAGCTCAGAGGGTTTATTTTGCGCTTCAAGAGGGACACACGGACACCTAAAATGGTGGATTTTGACGAGAGCAAAAATTAAAAATTAAAAATTAATTTTTTTTTGTTTTTTTGGCAATGCAAATTTTATATTTTTAAAAGAAAAGAAAAGAAAATCACTTAATACAACAAAAATTTAAAGAGGCTTTAATTTTGGTTTTAAGGGGAAATCTCCCCATGTTTACTTTTATGTCCTTTGTCTCTTTTCGCTTCTTTTGTGTTCAAGTTTTTGTCTCCCTTTCTTTCTCTTCTTTTGAGCCACTTAATACTATGGTCTAATATTATTCTTCTTTATTTGTAAGTGCGATGTTTTAGGTTGGATTTTCGTCAAATGCAAATTTGAATAACATTATTGTTAGCTCATTGTGAGGCTAAGCTCACTATCTCTTTAGTATAGATATATCGTTCGTTAAAAAATATATATATTTGTTGCCCATTTGCTATTTGCTTTAACAAGAGAAAGAAAATCTTGAATGAGATCGTTATACCGCTACTAGATGTTGTTAATAAATTTGTTGCGGTCGATATGAATGCCATATCTTGGACCTAGAACACCTTTACAACATTTCAAACCAGTATTTCATTAGCACGTGAGAAAGTTATAGTAAATTAAGTAAATTATTAACCTTCGCAATAAGAAATTAACCTAACAACATCTACACTAAGAGGAGAGGACCCCCTCTTTATCAAAGGTATGAAATCGGACGCACGTGCATGGCTAATGATGTTGATAATCACTCGGTTGAACTATTGGCATGGAGGGTAAAATCGTAAAGTTAACGTGAATTTTTTAATTGGGAAATTTAACATAAAATATAAGTTAAAACGTGATTAAGAGTTAAAATTCAACCCCTTAGGAACCGATCTAGCAGGTTTGTCGCTGAGACTTGTGCATTAGCGTCCAAGTTTATACAGACCGATTCCTCTGCTTTTATTTTTATAGGGAGACGTGCTTTTATTTTTTATTTTTTATTTTAATAATTTTATCTTTTTTTGTTTCTGATTTTCACTCATTTTTTAAAGAGTAAATTATAACAATTATCTTTTAATTTTAACTTAATTAGAGCAATAGTTCATCAACTAAAAATTTATTATCATTGGTCCCTCAACTCATCAAAACGTGCAGATATGGTCCCTTAACTATAACCCAATTGGAGCAATGGTTGAGGGATCCCAATAATAGCAATGGTCATTCCAACATAACTTATTTTGCCAAAATTCTAACGAAATTGCTGAAAATGATCATATCTACACATTTTGATGAGTTGAGGGACCAGTGGTAATGAAATTTTAGTTAAGGAACCATTGCTTCAATTTATTAAAGTTAAAGGACTATTGTTACAATTTACTCTTTTTTAAATTAAATAATAATGGTAATCCCTGTGCAAAATGCTTTATTTTAAGGGGAAGCCCTCACTTGTAAGCACGACGGTTACAGCTAGACATGAGCTAATCAACGGCTAGGATCTTCCTAACGTGTTCCCCCCTTACTACTACCCTGCCATTTCGGATTTCACTTTTCACCTTGCCTTGCCTCGTAGGATTGTGAACGGGTCTATTGTTAATTTTGTAAAACACTTTTTTTTTACTAGCTACTAGAGTAGAGAATCTGCTTGACAACTGCTCAGAAAGCAACTTACATATTACATGTACAATGATAGTGTAATATTCAGTGTCATAAAAAATTACACTTCTCGATTGGATGCACACATGTGACATCAACATTTCTTTTTATTAAACACGATTAATGTCATTTCAATCTATAACTTTTAAATCCAAAAATCTAATCGCACGACTACTTATTTAGCCGCACAAGGAATAGCAAGTGACAAAGAGTTTTGATCCAGTCTTTTAAAAAACAGAATAGTCTTCTTCTCATTCGTTAACATTTGCAAAACTTGTAGCCGTCAGTCCGCCACTACACTCTTCTCCTCTACCACATGCTTAAACTTAGGTGGTCCTCAGAGATTCTCGCAGCCATTTATCTGGGCTTTCGGGTGGTTCCTTAATGCATTTGCCACTATATACTATTATAAGTTAACCAACTTAGGTTTGATTTTCGTCAAAGATGAATTTGAACCATATTATTATTAGTCTATTGTGAAACTTAATCCATTTCCGTACCCTTTTAATGTAAATAATATCATTTGTAAAAAAAAACAACTTAATTAAATTATTAGCTGCAAGTAAATTACAATTAGGTACACGATCAAATAGTATGAAATTTTTATTTGTCGTAAGTAGGGGTAGGAACAATTTGATTCCAAATGCCATAGAATATTTATTGCCGCCAACAAATATTAACCCTCTCATCTCCTACAGTTTACTACAAAAAACGAAAAGCCACGTCGTCCCAATTAACATGCATAAGGTAAGCCGACGGTGGTGAAAACTTCCGGACCAACAAAAAGATATCGTAAACCTAACCGTTGAATGTCGGGTAAGTCACCACGTGGCGGACACCCAGAAGTGCAGGCTCGGAGTGAGGTGGGTCCCAATCTGATGACACCAATCCCTATGTAAGTCCGGGTAGAATTGGATAAGTTATTTTTTTATAGAGAAATTGGAGAAGGCGTTACTCTTCTTATTTATTGCCGTTAAGATAATTTATTTTATGCTCCCTTTTTTTCTAATATTTTTATTTATTTTCTGACTGTTTTTGCGTGAATTAAAAGGAAAGCCTGAAAAAGAGAGGGTACCTGGGCCGTTGCTTGGCTTGGAGGGTTTCACTTTTTTCACAGATATTTTCGTCTTTTCACCATTTCATTTATGGTAATATTTAAATATCCTTTTGAAAAACTGCAGCAGGTGATCTTGTGATAAAGATGCGGATTGCGGTTTCTCAACAATCATAAGAAATGTGAGAGGTTCCGGTTTAATATTCGGAGCTATAAATCTGGTTGATTATGGTCATGGGTAAAATGAATTTCCGGCCCATAACCTATTTGGAATCAAAATGAGTGAATAATCATGATTTACTACTAGTTGTTTTATTTTTTAATAAATAAAACAGTTAATATATATTTTTTTATCAAGAGGGTTTGTGGGGTCCATTTTGCATGTGATAGAGTAGGGTGTAGTGTCAGCTGCCCATGTGAGTGCATTCGCTCGTGTTGAAAGCAAAAACTGACGGTGGCCAATGACACGTGTCGAGAATACATAGCGCATTGCCTTTTGTAAGGTGTTCGGACCTGATATGTTAGAATTTAGATGTAAATTTCGTGATTCATCATCTTGTAATTTAGGATAACGTGCATGCACGTGCCATGGGGGTAACATGTGAGAGGTGAGTAGTGTCGCGTGCGTCATTTTGTACACTTGTTGCAGCCATGTTGTGAGAGATATTGGTTTGGAGGTTGTTAGGTTTGATTTGTTTGACTAATTATGATTAGCGGGACGTTAATCATATGCGTCAAGATGCAGTTACTAGTTAATTAGTAAGTATTAAGGGCATAGATAGGGAGCTAAACACAATCGTCCAAGCACACATCAACCGTTGATATATGTAAACTCTACACCCATCAACGTCCGGTAATCATCTGTTTTAACCTTAATCGAAAACATAGTGACGGATCTAGTAATTTTTCAATAATTAATGAGAGGAAGGATGAAGAAGCACTAAGATAGTTTTGTGAAAAGAAACTATTCTACATCTAAGTATACATGTGATTGTCGAAAGAATAGCTCATTAGGGTTTTTGCCGGTAAAGCTAAAAGCAAAGCAAGAAGCAGTTAGAATTTGACTATCGTGATGGAGCTGGATCAATATTTCTTTTTTGATACAAACGACATTACTACTTTAAGCTAGATTAAAAAAAAAAAAACCTATAATGCAGTAAGTTGAAAAAAAATACTCTAACCATCGTAACTTTCCTCATCGTGAAAAGAGTTATAATGTTGTAATGTAACGAGAAAGGAATAAAAGCTGCATGCAATGCTCAGTAGTAGAAAAAAAACTCATCTACCACGGTGGATGTCCGTGATAAATTGCAATCTACCACGGACATCATGCCCGTTAGTATTCTGGATGTAATAAAAAGTCTCTATTTCTACCACGGGCTATGCTCGTTGACAAATGCAATGTAACCACGAATTGTGCTCATGGTATATTGGAATCTAATACCACGTGTTTTGGCTATTGTGGATTACAAATTGATCACGGCTATTGCCCGTTGTATAAAATTTTCCGAAAATTAAAAAAATAATAATAATCAATAAACAAAAAAAAAAAATATATATATATATATATATATATAAAGATATTTATTTACAAGATTGCATATTTACTTTATAAAAATTCACATATTCAAATATTAAACTAAAAGCTAACAACAAAATGAGTAGTTATATTAAGAAAACCAAATCACTGAGTTATGCTACAGTGTGTACCAAAACATGTAGACTTTGTTTCACTCTAAAACAAACTCAAGTCCTAGTTCCATTCTTGGTCCTCCAATGATATTCATCTTCTCTGCAATCCTTTCTTCAAGAAAACACACATCTCTAGCAAGCCAATCACAATTCAAATTTGCAGGTGCCCAAACGTAGTAGTTGATATTTGAATTATAAACCCTCATGAATTAGAACCACCAACCACCTATGAGACAAACAAGGAAAAATATAAAGCTTAGAAATCAAAACTCATCACTTAAGGACATCATATACAAAACAATTCAAATTCACAAAGTCAATTAGACAAAAGGCAAGTAATCATGATCCAAGTGAGTACACGGTGCATGTCAAAAAAGTACCCAAGACACCTGAAATTATAAGGATCAAAGAGTCAAGGAACATTGAAACTTCATTTAGCATTAGATGCAATACATACCAATACTTGTTCAACATCCACCAAAGGAATCATCTTTAATTCTCCTTTTCCAGATAACACTTAGGTAGTCAACTCGTCATGTACGCCATGATAGAAATATCATTTACTACAGTTCAAACAAGAGAGATAGCAATACCTTATGACCCAATTCTTCCAACCAAAACCTTTCTCTGATCCTGAAATTCAATGTGGCAGTATAACAAAACATAAAGAAACTTACACCACGTATATCAGACTCGCGAGTTTGTTCTTTTACTCTTATAATTCAAACATAATTATGCAGGAACATTAAACTCCCATTATGCAATTTGTTTAAATCAATGCCCCAAAATTAATTTCATCATAATTCATTAGACAATGATCAATTAATCCCAACAATTTTCTTCATCATTTCACTTAAAACAATAAAATAAAAAAATGAAGCTTAATTACCCCAAGAAAAAGCAACCCATCTGAGGCAGCATAAGCGGTGTGCTCGCGATCACAAACAATGTCCAGCCACCACCAATTAGCCCCCGCCGTGCACCTAAAAAGCTCCGGAGAGTTGCTTCGGGATCCTTAACTTCTGCTCCTTCTCATTTCAACCTGTCTGCTCGGACATGCAATATCCTCACATGTAAATCGCCTCTTCGTCGGAATGCTCACCGGCCAATTGTGACCCAGAAGCTCATCAATGTCAATTTCCATAAATTCCCTTCACAAACTGAACCACAAAGTTGCAAGTCAACGTATTTGACAAAAAAATTGACAAATTTTAATCCAATTGAAGGAGAAAGTTGGGAGCTTTACAAAATGAGTTCTCTATTTGGTTACCGGGGAAATGGAATAGTGGTGAATTGGGATTATATCGGCAGCCAAATAGAGGGGAGAGAGGGAGAGAGAGAGAAAGAGAGAGTAGCGGAGATACCTGAGGACTCAAGGTGGACGAGGAAGCAAGGAGAAAACTGAAAAATGATTGTTGTTGGTGAAATGTTAAGAGAGAGGAGAGTGACAGAGATCGGTTTAATTTCTCACGATTTGGGGAGGGGGAGTTTTGCGGTTTCTAGCTGATGGAATGAGGTAAACTAATAAATGAAATTTGAAAAGTGTGCGGGACTGCTGTGAAATTTTCAAATTTCAAAATGTTATAAATTTTGCAAAATTCTTGTCCCACCTCCTCTAAATTTTTTAGTGTGTGTGATTCCACCACATATTATGTCTGTGATGGATAACAAAAAAACGATGTGGGGGTTAACAATAAAAACCACAAGCATTGTCCGTGGTGGTTTTAGTATATTTATAACGTGCAATTTTACGCGTGGTCATTCATTGCTATTTTACAAGAAGCTAAGATTTGTCCATGATAAAATATTGTTATTATTACGTGCTTATTATGCCCGTGGTAAATTTGTACTTTTTATAACAAGCTCATAAAGTCCGTGATAAAATTATCGTGGTAGATGAGCTGTTGTGTTGTAGTGGCTGCATGGCTAAGCTACTCGGCAACTGTCTTCAAAGGCCTCTTGAGATTCTGGGCAATGGGCAACTGTGAGTTTGCGTTGACGAAAAGTTACTTAGTCAAATGGATTAAGCAAAGGCCCACAGGTTTGAGTTGCAAGCCCAAATTCTTTTCTTTTTCAATATTTGGTACTGTGCTGGGTGCATATTTACCACTTTGCCATCCTAGCTCCGCATGCAGATGCAGTCCTTGGTTTCTTCGGATGGTCTTTAAGTCGAGTGCTTAATTAAGCTTTTTAATACTTGCAAATGAATGCGCCCCAAAAAAGAAAACTCGTCTAGTAAGTAAGGTATCAGAAACCCTAGAAATTGCAGAGAACGTGGAAGATGGGTGGGGATATCAGACGGGAAGATGGTTTGGAGACATAGAAAGGAGAAAGGTGGGAAAGAGTTATTTTTTTTCAATTAATTTTAATTATTAAATAAAAATCAATAATTTAACAGCCAAATTAACAAAAAATTTAACAGAGTTATGACATTGTAACAAATTCATAAGTTAAGGTATGACATTACAATATTTAAAACATGATGTATGAGATTGTAGTTCGACCTATAGTTGAGGTGATTTTATGTAATTTACCACTATTTTTATTATCTGATCGTGAAAACCTTCTTTATTACTGACGGTATATAATCAGTTACACTTAAGACTACTCAATTTTAATTGGTTGTTAAATATGTCATTCTTCTAATAGAGATGAGATTAAACTCTACCTCTATTAGGAGAATGATATGTTGCATATTAGACGGTCACCTGAGCTTTAATTGACAACCATGGCCGGGGGGCGGGGAGAGAGTTGAATGTTAGAGCAATTTCAGCGTGGGAGCCCTCCCCCCAAGCTATTCACTATTCAATCCACCTAGTGAACAGTAACTGCCCTTAATGAACAGTAACTGCATTTTGTATCTCCACCGTTGCACTTGAATAACCCTGGCAATTGACAATAAAATATTACTATTTTTTTTATTTATAAAATAATACAAAATAATTTTATTTGTAATTTCGCAAAGTCACTTGGCGATTATTTAATTTTTCATTAATTAAATTACTTAATTTCCATTAACACCCATCCTCTGTTTTCCCTTCAAAATTTTCCTGTTGTTTCCTTCGCATTCCCGAGAAAATCAAATCCAATCATGACGGCCATCGCCCTCTCCGACTTGCATCAAAATTACAGCCATTGCCCTCCTCTCCCTCTCCTTCTTCCTACTCGCCAACCACTACTATGCTACCTATCCTTCCCTCCCCTTCTTGTCCTCCACTGCCACATCCTCCACTGCGCAGTCTCCGTCTCTCGCATTGCAGATGCCAAAATCGCATGCTCCGAATCCTCTGTCAGCTCCTTCTCCTCCTCCACCGCGACCACCGCTGGAGGTGGAGAGCATGGGGATAGTGGACGAGATCGGCGCGATGTTGGCGGAGTTCGAGGCCTGACAGAAAAAAACATTAAAATAGGCGTTTGACGTCAGATCCACCTCAGGCTCTCGGGTCAGCGAGAATCGACGGCCCTGGCGCTCAGGGCTGCTTAGGCTCCCTCGCCAGCCAACGCTGGACTTCCTCCCTCGGGCAATCAAGCCCTGTTCCGGAGCTTGTCCCTCGAGCAGGAGCTCCCGCTAGAGTTGCTCTTAGGTGTGTGTGTGTGTGTGTTTTTTTTTTTTTACTTAACGAGGCAAAACAACCAGAAATAAATTGTTAGATTTTTATCTTTCGTAAGGGTTAAAAGTGATTTTTGCAATCAGAACGCTTCTGTCATAAAACCCGTCCAAGTTCTTTTGAACTTCAACCTTTCTTCTGATTCAAGTGCTTAAGAACAAAAGCGCTTCCGACAGAAGCAGTCCAGATTTTCTTTCTCGGGTTTGATAGCAAGAAATGGACTTGGGTTTTATGAGGCCTTTTGCCTGGGCTGGGTTCTTCCAGTCCAAAATAGGCCCATGACCAATAATCAACGGAGGAACACTGGGAACTTGGAGACTGCGAGATGAAGCGGGGCTTTGTGCATTGCGATGGAGCACTGAAATTCTCAGAGCTTGAACCGGAGTCAGATCGAGCGCGAAATTACAGAGAGAGATTCAGAGCAATGGAGAAGAAGCAAAGCAGACCAATGGAGCTGTTAAACGCGATGGTATCAGAGCCATACTATCTGCTCCATTTCTTAACTTTCTTCTCCTACCTCGTCCTCCGCACCTCCGCCGCCCATGTCCTCTCCGCCCACATCACCGATCACCTCCTCCACCGAGTAATTTCCCATCCCTCCCTCTCTCTCTCTCTCTCCATCTCGATCTCCATTTTGATTCATAAATTTACCATTTTCTGTATGATTGTAATTTTTTTTCAGGAAATTCAAGCGGCTTTGACATTTGGGCTCTTGACTGCAATCAAGGTTTGGAAATTTTCAACTTCAGCATTGCAATTGGAGCAAAACCCACGTTTAATTTTCAATTTGTGTTTCTGGGCAATTTGTTATTTTGTTTTTAAAATGTTTTATTTGGAATTATATAGATGGTGAGGGAAGAAACTTTGGAAGGACTTATTGCTGATTCACTCTTTTTTGCAAAGGTGAGACAAAAAAATAATCTCCATTTCCGCCACTTATTGGTCTTAATCATCATTTTAACAATGTATTTGTTGTATTATTCGGCGTAGCAATTTTGGCAATGCCTGTTTAGCTTCTGGCACAATGTGCATTGAGCCCATAAATTCGTAATCAACCTTGGCTGAAACTGTTATCAACAAACAAAATGACAATGCCGGTGTTTAACGTCAAATTCCAGTGTTTGTATTCACCTATTTGATTTCTACTCGAGGTAATATATTTGTTCGTTTCAGATTTTTCTTATCGGTCTCACTTTAATTCTGGACCGCCACTTGACTCTCTGGTACGTTGTGGCGTTTACAGGTGGGTGTATCTTCAAATTGCCTTGCTTTTTCTGCAGTGATATATGTATCTTGACCTAAATGCACATCTATTGTTGTTTTATTCTCTGCAGTGATATATATTTTCACACAACAACCCGCCTTTCAAAAATTAGGTACACGCTAAACTCTTTATTTCCCCGTCTTTCCTTCTTTTCCATTCCTTTTACCTTGTTAACGTCATGTAGATTAGATGCAAATTGTGAACGAGTTTTGCTTGCTATATAATTGAGTTTTGCATCACTATCAAAACTTTCTTATTGAGGAAAACAGTAGAAAACAGTAGAAGGTTTTGATACTTATGCAAAACTTCTCGATCAAAACTTTTTTCTTACTGAGGAAATGAATTGAGCATTTTGAGTGACTTGGTTGAAGAGATATTCTCGGAGAGGAAGAAAAGTTAGGCATTCTCACAGGTTTGCCTTACCATGGAGGATGAAGGTCAACATATATAGGGATTTCGCAATAGCAAGTAGTGGTCCTGCTCCTTTACTCTTGTCAGAGATCTTGGAACAGTAAAATTCACGCGTTTGAACTTTGTCAGAGATCTTTGACAAAGTTGTCTGTGATATCCAAAAAGTTGAGATTGCGTCTAAAAAGCGCCGACCAACTTTATTCAGGAAAAATCTAGCTTTTGAAATTCGGAGAGTGGCACCTCTTCGATTTTTTGAACAAGTGGTCTTGTTGCCTCTTCCTTTTATTGAGGCATCAATTGTGTTCAACAACACGCTCAGAAAATTGTTGCCTGTAGAAATTTCCCATTTTATTTTTTTTTGCAATTCTGAGATTTCAATTTATCTAATCTCCTTTTCCTTCATCATTTCTGAAAATGGCTTGCCTATCTGACCGTTGTTTTGATTTGAATGTTGTGGAAGATGAAAACGTGTCTTCTCAAGATAGCATATGACATCCATCATTCTTATCACATAACGGTTTCCTTACAGTTGGAGACTCTGTGATGAAGAATGATATAACCGCTACGGTGGTAGCTAGGAATCTCCTCACTCCCAAGGATAACAAGATACTCTGTTCAAGACTCTCTGACTTTCAGTGTTCAGTGTGTGGGCTCTATGTCCAATATGGGCCAACACCTACTTGTCCGAACTTGCCAAGTTGAATCATTGATGGTTAAGGTGGCAAGTCTACAAGAGATCAGAGAGCTCAAGCATGAAAATAGAGAGTTGCACATACTTGCAAATAATTACTCAACGAGCATGGAAAGAAAGCTTGACTAGTTGCAGGAATTTGAAAGTCGAATTCAAAGTGATCATCAAAGGTTTTGGGGCTTTATTCCAAAGGCGTCTATTGTCTTCGACATCTGAAAGTCACATGATTAACCTTTGTGAAGACTCTTCCGTTTGTTTGTTTTAACTCAAGTGTATGCATGTTTCTTTTGTTGACGGCGACAATGCTGCAAATGTTATTGTAGTGTTGTTGAAGTGTTGGTGATCGGCGGGTGTCGCAGTGGTTTATTGTTGTTGGCGAAGACTTCGGGATCTGTCTTCTGCTGTTGTTGGTACTGCGGCGGGAGAAACGAGGAAGCCATCTTATGGTTTTGCTCCATTTATTTTTTTATTATTTCTTTCCTTCTGCCAGCTCCCATTCAAACCTTTTTTTTTATTAGTTTTTCTTTTTCTTTCCACATGGTGTTGAAGAAAGTGGAATTCGGCCTGATT